TTCTTTTTGTGTTCGCAATTCGCATCGCCTGTCCTCTAAACTCTGTCTAATGTTTACAGTCGAAAAATAATTTGCTCTTCTCATTAAATTGTTTGTTAAAAATAAAATGGCTCAAAGGGAAGCTGCTAAAGTATTCGTGAGACAAGTTAAACCTCTTTTGTCGTTAGATCAAATTGAAGCTCAAAGAAGAGTAAGGAATCTATATCGAGCATGGTATCGTCAAATTCCAATAATTGGTAAGCCAATTCTGTGTTATAATAATATTAAAACAATATCATAATCGCATAAATGGTTAATAATACAGATTTTTATAACTAATTTTATGTTTTCGAACTGTATAAAATCATGGTTAATAGGTGTTAAATCATTTTGCAATCGGATTTAACCAACATTGATATAGATATGCCTTCACCTGGCTAAACCCTTCTAGCCTTAGGCCTACATGTTTTGTTACTGGGTACAGATTAGTTTGGGTGTTATCTGGTACTTTGGTGCGGGTGGTACGGTTTTGGCTTCCGGCACATCCACATAACATACGGGTTTGGGCCGCTATCCCTAAAAGCGTTATTTCAGTACATTATCTCCTGTGTAAAAATGCCTCTGGCCTCGACATTAAGAAACGATAAGTATGCCGAAAAACTAAGATATATAATCGGATGTAATATCAGTTCATAGATTTCCTGGATCTCAACACCTATTGTCGGCTTATGTAGGTACTGAATGAACATTTAAAGCCCTAGGCCTACAGTATGCCCTTTCAATAAGACTTATTTCAGACTGTGCTGGTGGTTAGGTTAGTTAAGTTCTGTGCTTCGTTGATTGGTCCTTTTTCATAGTACAGTAGAACACTACAATAGTGTTAGACAAAATATCAGGTCATCTATCCATTTGAACTTAAATTGGATTCCTCATTAAGTAGGCTACCATTGTAGGGCACAGACAACAAAAATACGACGAATAAGTTATGGTATTGTAACTTACTAAAATAAACGGTATCAGCAATCTGACACATAAGAATACTTTCTCCCATTAGCTTGTCAACAACTTTTATCATGGGTAAGCGATGCAAGTAACTAAAGTTTCATTTCATTAGCTTTTGAAGCATAATTTTTACAGGATTGGGGGGGGGGGGTGGGTTTGCACTATTTTCTTTAGAATTATAAGGACCATAACAGACAAATTTTAATCAAAATCTTTTTTTGTAGGCTAATCCTTTTTTCCGTTTTTTATGGGTTTTTTTTAATAACAAAAGCTACCCCAAGTCATTGTGTGGTAGCCTACACTAACTTTTGAACCACAATTTTTACAGCAATTGGGGGTTGCACTATATTGTTGAGAATTATAACGATTATCACATACAAATTTGAACCAAAACCGGCCTTTTTTAAAAAATATGATTTTCTCTTATACTATGGGTTTTTATGGGAAAATAACATAATTAACAATAACTATTGAACTTTAATTTTTACAGAAATGGGAGTTATACAATTTTGTTTAAAATTTGAAGGGCTACAATACTAAATTTGTATCAAAATCATTCAGGCCATTCTTGAGAAAATCCTATTTTGCTATTATTTTATAATGGGTTTTTATTTGAAAATCAATACTAAGAACCAACATTTCTAAAAAATTAAAAAAAACTCCTGGAGATATCATGGATTAGTAGGTACCTACATACCAAATTTCATCAAAATCGGACCACAGGTGTAGTCTGTAGCTCTGTACACATCCAGACACACAGACATAACTTCGAAAACCACTTTTTTGGGTCCAGGGGGACCCTAAAAGAAAATATATCCACTCAAAACTCAAAAATGTTGACGAAAACAATAATTTCTCCATATACTATGGTATATAGGGAGAAAGTAAAAACTGGCCTTTTACCAAGTGTCTCGGTCTCATGGTAAGACCTAGACACTTTCTCATTTTGATGTCCCCGAAGTAGAAACACCATCCATTTACATTCAAACATATATATATGTGTGTGTCTGTTAGAACGATAACTTGAGCAAAAATCATCCGATTTTGATTACATTTGGTACAAATGAGTAATCCTACGTTTATTCTAACATGTTTACAAACCAGTATAATCAGACTATGAGAACGGAGTTCTATGAAAGTAAAAATTGGGGGTTTCCCATTTTGTACCCACAAATCAGAAAACTTTTTAATTTCTTTTTAAATTATTTTTTAGAGTTAAAAAAACAAACAAAATTAGTGATACATTGTGTTTGTGTTGGTACATTGTGTACATAAGTGTTGTTGTACAATCAATAATAACCGAGAAATTAAAAAAAAACCTTACCTATTTTTAAATTCCCATGTTTTTCTCATAGAGAATAAATTAGGCTAACTTATGCAAATTGCTTGTTTTTATGGGTATATTTTGTTAAAATTAGATAAATTTATTCATTTATACTAACCTTATTAGGTAACATTTTACAAATAACCATTTTTCCCCTCCCTGTTGTAGCAAAGTACTCGTTAAATCTAATGTTATTTAAATAGTGAATAAATCTGACATATTTTAGGATTTACTCAGGTCTATAGCCATTAGGGCAAATGAAAATTCACATAGTCTGCAGGTTTGCTGTGACTGGGTTATTTTATTGTATCATTACACTGGGCTGTGAAGGAGGGAGCCTATAGGCTACTTTAAACGCCTTTATTTGCATTGTCTTCAGCTATTGTCTGCTTTGTGACATGACAAGTCAAGTGACTCATCTCATGCATGTCGCACTTGCCTCCCCTCGGCTGCTGCGGTGTGTAGCCGACCCAACACTCGACTAGGAAAAGATGACCCAGCAACGAACTTAGTCTCCCCCTCCTCTTACTGGAAGTTGTGGTCCTAAGCTCATATCTGGAGCTCTGGAGTAAACGACATTATCCTGCATACAGCTTTAGTTCTTACTCAATCCATGTTGCTACTCTCATTTCATTGTTAACATAAAAAAATATTTTAATTTTAATATTGAAAGGTAATTAAAATATTTTATATTAATGTTGTCAATATCCGGAAGTAGGAAAATGAATTCATTGTTAACCTTTATTATTTTTCAGTTCACGACTTCCATATTCCCAAAACTGAAAAACAATGCTATGCAAAGCTGAGAGAAGAGTTTGACAAGCATAAAGACGTCAAGGATATACGCTTAATCGATATGTTGATTATCAAGGTAGGCTTTTTTAAGATAGCATTACTTTTGATCCCAAGAATTTTTTAATAGTTTTTATTATCTGTTCAGTGGATAGTTTAGTTAGTGAGTCTTGAGTACTGAGACTCTAACATAACCTTGGGTTTATTTCCAGGGTCAAATGGAACTGAAGGAAATCGTAAACAAGTGGAAGCAAGAATGTCATTTGATGATGTACTTCAAAGACACTGTAGAGCCCAAGCCTAAGGACTTCCTATCCAAATTCATGAGTGGGTCTGACTGAAATACCCCTCAACGGTATAGTAATCCCAAAAATGGAATGATAGCAATTGGTTCCATTAGTGTACAAAAGATGATTGAAACATGACTTGTGTATATATGATTGAAATAAATGTTATAAAACAATATTAGTCACTTTTCCCAACTCCTTGGTTATCCTCATTAATGTATTTTGTTATTGCGGTTAACCATTAAAAGTTGTTAATACATATTTTATCATTAGGGCCTTAAAAGTGACTATTTTTTACCCGAGCTTAAGTTTTACGATCGAGGCCGAGGTTGAAAAGACACTTTTTGCCTGTGTGATGAACCATATTTTTTGTCATACTGTACCACTATTTAAACAAACTATGTTACAAAACTAAAATAGTTTTCGTTTTAAGATAACCTCTCAAAACTGCTTGTTTTCAATTTAACACGTTTGCTGCGGCCCATCAAATGGCAGGCGTAGCCCCAGTGCGGCGCAGCCCGCAGCGTCGAACAAACCCGATTGCTGGGTGATTGGCTTTCATATTTCGGTATGACGAATATCAAAAAACGTGTGGTGATGTCCTGTTTCATGACAAGAGTCGACGTAGTTTGCTAAACACCCACAGCAGATGCCATTATTTTACAATGAAACACACTAATATAGCACAAAATTACAGTTAACAATGAGTGAGTCAAAATCCACCAGGTATAGTTTCGGAACGAGTAACGATAATTACAAACGAATCGCACCACAAAACTACCACTGTGTACACGAAGCACGGACAAAAATACTCCGACCTACACCGGAGTGCGGCTGCACTCAAACCGAATAAGTTTGGCGGGTGCACACTACCGCCCGGGCGGCGCGCCGCAGCGTGGCGGAGCGCGGACCTACCCCCCGGGCGGTAACTCGCACGCAATGTGTTAATTTGCTTATGGAAACAAGCAGCTTGTTTAGTAAGTAATTCAACCGTTTTGTCTATTATGATTGTGTTAGTGTATATTATACTATATCCAATAAGGCAACAATTAATTACAATCGGACCATGGGAACAGGGGTTTATGGGGGGTTTTATGGGGTAAAAATGTGTTTTTCCCATTTTTTACACTAAAAACAAAAAAAATTGCAATTTCTTTCCAAACCGTTTTGTAGAGCTTAAAAAAAGAAATAATTTAGTATATTGAAGTGCTGTTGTATGCCTAACGGTCACGGAGAAAATTAAAAAATAGTTTAATTTAAAATTCCAATGTTATTCTTATGGAGAAAATAAAAATTGTAGTTTACTTGTTTATGGATATATATTGATAAAATTTGGCAAATTTATTTATTTCATCCCATACTATTCACGTATGGTCAAAAAACACTTTTTACCTTCCCCGTAGCAGCAAACCTAAGCGCTTGTTAAACCTAATGTTATTTAAATAGGGAATAAATATGTCTTATTTATGGAAATATTTGAGTAAAAATGTAATCAGACAAATTGAAATTCGCTTAGTCTGCAGGTTTGCTGCGGCGGGGTATTATACTTAAGTAACTCGTTGTAAACAATCAACTCTATTCACCTGCCAGCCGTCCTTATTTGATGTAGAACTGTACCCCTCAACTGACCTCCTGTGGCTGATGGCCATATACAGCATCCCATGACCAAAGACTGGTTCTTATAGCACTCCTCCAACAAAACCTAGATACTGTCACTGAAATTTACTGATGGTCATGGCAAACAAAGGTATAACTGCAAACTGAGTTAGATCAAGAGCTAAAGGAAGGAAAGAATTGATGATTGCAGTTTGTGAGTTTGGTCCTAGGAATCAGCATTTCCCTTGATAAGACCATTATTTCGTTAGTTCCTGTGATTGGCAAAGTGTTCGAAACCATAATAAAATCACAATTAATGAAATTTTTTGAATACCATGGCCTAATATCTGATTGGCAATTTGGGTTTCGAACGGGTAGATGTGCCACGGATGCGGTAAGGCGCTTGGTGCAGCATGTGCTAAATTCTTATGAAAACGCCTCTCTTACCCAGGCAACTCTAGTTGACCTGAGTAAAGCGTTTGATTGTGTTCCCCATGGTTTACTTTTGAATAAACTTGAGTACTACGGTATCCGTGGCACAGAACTCAATCTTTTTAAGTCTTACTTATCAGACCGCAGGCAGCAGGTTGATGTTGCGGGTATATTGTCAGATGAGAGTGAGGTCTTTTGCGGAGTGCCCCAGGGCTCGGTGTTAGGCCCTGTTCTTTTCCTTATAATGATTAATGATTTGGATAAATGTATGTCCTGTACTTCTGTGATTTATGCGGATGACTCCACTTTCTTAAATAGTCAAGGTACCTTTAGTGAACTCATGGTGCTGTCCAAACTTTCCCTCAATGAAGCTAGGAACTGGTTCAGTGTCAATGGGTTTTTTATGAATCCTGAAAAGACTCAAACTATTGTTTTTAGGTTAGGTCGCACACCTGAGGAAGAAAAGAATTTTTCGTCAAGTGTAAATTTATTAGGCATAGATTTGGATAGTGATTTAAGCTGGTCAACCCATTTATATAACTTAAGTAAGAAATTGTCAAGAGTTTTATTTTTAATTAGACGTCTAAGAGATTTTGTTCCTCCTTTGTATGTTAGATCTGCGTATTTTGCTTTTTTTCAAAGTCTGTTAAAGTATGGTCTGTTACTGTGGGGTAACTCCACCCACATTCTAATAATTTTAAAGCTTCAAAAAAAGGCTGTAAGACTGTTGACCAATTCAGGGTTGAGGGACCATTGTAAACCTCTTTTTAAAGCAACAGGTATCCTGACAACTGTAAATTTGTATATATTAGAGTGTGTTATTTTTGTAAAACAAAATTCACATTTCTTTAGCTCAAGAAATAATTTTCACTCATATTACACAAGGGGAAGATCTGCTTTGGATAGGCCCTACACCAGACTAACAACAGTACAGCAAAGTTTTGCTAGTATATCAGTAAAAATAGTAAATTGTTTTGCAAGTGAAATACTTGACATTCCTTGTACTCGGCTAAAACAAAGGTTGATGGTTTGGCTTGCTGACCACCCTTTTTACAGTTTAGATGAATTTTTTGCAGAATACAATTGTAATGGTAAAATTGTTATCTAGTTCTTACTTAGTCCCTAGTCAACTGTTACCTAGTCTTTCAAACACTTGTTTAAGTAGGTACCTCACTTTTGTTTCATATAGGCTATATAGTTCTGTGTTTTTCAAATGATTTTAGCTTTATTTTCTTGTTGTCTTTGTTATATTTAAGTTTAATGAAGATTCCATGTTATAGGTCTATTGTAACATATGTTATTTAATGACCAATAAAGATTTATGATTTATGATTAACACGATACTCTCTTTTAACATGCATATTAAGATTCCTGATCAACATAAGAGCTTCTTAGTGATGTAAAATACCCGGGTATTTAAAACTCAGGGTAAATACCCTGGGTATTTACCCAGGTAAATACCCAAAATCCATAAATACCCGGGTATTTTGGGTATTTATGAAATCGATTGAAATTAATTTATATTCACCCCTAAATATGTTATTGTTATCATTACATGAAAAATTAGGATAGTCACACCTTTTACAGTAACTTGAAGCTTTACTAGTACCTTTTATTTAATAATTTAGCACTTTAAAAAAAATAAAACATAAAGTTTTTAAATAAGAATGGGGTTTTGTTTTTTATCAAGGCAACACCTCATCAGAGAAATAGTGAACTTAACCTACTTCTACTGTTATTAAATTATGATAGTTAAAAAAATTGATCGTATAAATGGCTTGGAAGGCTAGACAGACCTAAGGCAGAATGGCGGAATACTAAAAGTAATTACAATTTTCTGTGTTACCGCTTGGTTGGAAAAAATAATATATTTGGATAAACCTACTAAAAAATGTATCTCCTGTTTTTGGTCTAACTTAATATAGTTTTGAAAGATTTATTGTGCTATAGATTTAAATGTTTTGTACCTATCACAAGTTTATGAAATTAGTTTTTTTTTATTTTGATACCATTGATATCAACAAAAGATCTAGAACAAAAATATTATTAAATCCTGCCATCCTACAGATTGAATTTTAAGTATTTTCTTAAGTTGTTTACACGCCTAGGCCACTACTAGGTTAAATTTTCATGTATTTATAAATAATAATTATTACTTTGCAAATTATTTTTCTTCACTTTCAATAAAATAAATTCATCTATCCATCATAGAAATTAAAAGGACCAGTGCAACCATGCGACCAGGGTATTTATGCCGATTATGCTTAATGCTCAGACCTGGGTATTTATGGCGATTGTACCCAGAAGTAAAATGCTAGTAGTGACCATATGAAATTTTGTTTAACACATTTTATCATCATTTTACTATCCTTACAGGGTGATAATTGCAAAAAAACATCTCAATCTTCTTTAACTTTAATAAAAATTATAAATACCCACTTTTTGGGTATTTACCCGGGCCTGGGGTAAATTCCCGGGTAAATACCCAATTTATATTTACCTACCCACTGGGTATTTACCCGGCCCACATCACTAGCTTCAATGAAATTTTTCTTGAGCTTCAACATGTGGTAATAGTTATTTGTGTAACTAGTGGGCAAAGTGGCACTTTGCTGCACACGAGAGCAATGTGCGGCTCGTGCGGAATGATCTCAAGTGCAGCAAAGGCCTTTTGCACTCGTGTTACACATTATATTTTCCCTACAGTCACTATAAAATAATTAGTCTTTCAAACGCTATACAACACGTTTTTAGGTTCAGCTGGCAACACAAATAGGTGCCCTAGAGAAAGTAGTACCCGGTCCGTATCACTCCGCTATTTTTCCTCTGCAAGAAATGTGCTTCGCATTTTTAAAAATATAGTTCCGTATGTTTTTGTAATTTGAAGTGGTTTCCGCGCCTAAAAAAATGCTTTAAATGTATTTTCTTGTTTATTAAGATTGTAGGAATGTTTTAAACACGTTTAAAAGAAAAGTCCAGAAAGTTCAGAAATACCGAAACTATAAACACGAAATGACAGGTTAAATTGTAGTTATAATAGTCAATCAGCTGCTCATAGTATTATTATCTTTAAGTGTTGCCAACCTATTTCCAAGCGTAGACGGATTACGTGCATAATAGAACCACGCTGTTTTGTGTCGTTTCGTTGGA